GAATGCTCAGCCTGACTGTTAACTGCCTCTCAGTTTGCAGAGATACAGACCAGATTGTGACCTCATTCTGACGTAGTAGGATTCTGACCAATGGCTATGCCGGTTGGGAGAATTGTGGGAGCTGTAGTCAAAGAAAGTAACTTTAGGAAGCTCTGCTTGGCATGTCATGAGCTTGCCCAAGGCGACACGGGCCAGCTCTTCCTCCCTGAGGGCACAGTGGTAAACTCCCAACCTCTTGCTCCGCAACCAGCCTTCATAACAATACCCAAAGAAAACTTTAGCGCAGACTTGTCCAACTTGCGGCCCGAGAGCCGCATGCGGCTCAGGTCAGCTCATAATGCAGCCCAGTGCAATTTTTTATTTTAAAAGAAATTCCAAAGTTTCAAGTTACACTGCCGGCACGCTGGAATGTGGCCAGGGCATGTCACAACAGTAGAGGGGGGAAGAGGGAAGGAAGGAAGGAGTGGGAGGGGAGGGGACAGGGGAGCTGTGTGACTGCATTGCAACATTCTCATCAATAGGTGGACCCCCTCCCGGCCCCATAAGGCCGCAGGAGTTGAAGCTGGCAGCCTCTGCTGTCTGAGATCGCAGCTGCCGGTAAGCGTGCTTGGAGTGGGGCTGCTGAGGATGGCTAGGGCTGTCCCCCTATGTGGTCCAAACCCAATGTATGTGTGGCCCAAACCATATTTGCATCTTCTATTGTGGCCCAGGGAAGGTGAAAGGTTGGACACCCCTGCCTTAAACAATCTCTTATGACTCAAATCAACATATATTCTATTTCACACAGACCTGTGTAAAATGTTTATATCATTATGGTCTAGAATTAAATCCATTATGTCACACATATAGACATACAGCATCATCTTAAATTCTAATTTCGCTCTTTTTATGAAAAGTGTAATGGAGATACCAATAATTCTGATGAGCAGGCGTAAATCATATCAGGAACCAACAGCACATGCAAACATTGAGGCTTGCAACGTATAGTTTTTGCTAAAGTTGCCATACTCCAGTTCTTTAAATCTGGGCAGCAAAATTTTCATTATTAGGCAGCTTTATTTGCATAATATTTTTGCATATTATGCAAATTGACATTGATTTTCCCTATTATTCCACTTAAATACATACATTTGGTTTTTCTACCAGTATGTTTTGGCCTTGGTGCCATTAAT